AATGGCCATTTTGGAGAAAAAACTGGATTTTTAAAATTCTATTATCTCTGTAGAAAATGATACTTTAAATCATAATATGAAGAGGTGCTAAGAGAGTATGTAGTCAAAAAACGTCCAAAAACAAGTATTACAGAAGTGTCAAGCAGTTAACTAATAAACGTAATTATTTAAATGTTTTATTTTTGTTACATTTATAGGTATCAAAGAATTTTTAAATCATTGTGATTTATTTTCTCATTTTAAGTAAATACTCACTTTCACACCAAATTTTATATTCTTTCTCTTAAAGAGGGACCTCAAATTGTATAAGCTTCAGGCCCCACCCTTTGGTACTAGTGTTTGATCTGAAAAAATGTTGCCAGATAAATGTACCTTTTTTTTTTTTTTTTTTGCCAGGCAAGGCATGGGCTTTGCATCTGCTGATTGGGCCATGGACAAGAGTGTTTGCATCTCCTGGGAGTCTCTCTTGGGGTCAAGTGAACTGGCAGAATACCTCCAATAGTGTCATTTGCAGCCCTGGGTAAGAGCTTTTCCTCAATAAACAATGCTGTGAAATGTAATCCCACATTTTGTATTGTTAGAATTGCTTTCTGTGCTGTCTGACTTGACTTAAGAGTTAGGAAATGAATATTTGCAACATTAAGAAATGGTGTTTCAAATTCCATGTATCTGGGTGGTCCTTAAAATCCTTTTATTGAAAGGTCTGTGGTCCATGGAGGCAAAGGTTGTTTGTGAGAAGAGCAATTGTGTAACAAGGAGTCTGAGAAATAAGAAGAGAGGTCTTGGCCCCATTGCATGGGCGGTAGGCAGTGAATACCATGCACACGGGATACCACTTTCCACTTCACCATCTGCATGGTCCCTAGAATTAGCTATTCCAGAGTCAGAAAAACTGCTTGGGAAAGTGGTTTGAAATAGTCATTAAAACAACAATATTTATTGGACCCCTACTGCATGTCTGGAATTGAGTCAGGTACGGTGACTATATGGATAACCTAGATGGTGGTCTAGCCCCTTAAGGAGCTAAATAACTAACCAGGAAGACAGGAAATATGCATAAGAATACAATTTTAAGACTAACCTTATGAAATTTTCTTTTTATTATAGGTCAATCATAGTTATTTCATATGATTGGCAATTTCGTATGATTGAATATCAATAGTTTCATATGGTTCAACATGAATAGCTAGAAAGGTATTATTTTTCCTTTCAGTGGGCTAGTTCTTCATAATGCAAGACCAAACATCCAATTTGGTATGTTTAGTATTTCTGGCACCTGGATGATACATGCCAGAAGTATCACCCAGTCATTGTGATAAGTGATCAAGCAAACTCTTCCATACATTTCCAAATGCAGGGGGTGAGAGTTGGAGGAGAGTGGTGAGATGGCATCTCTCATTTTAAAATCCTTGAAATTGTTACAGAAATAAATTCAGGCTTGGTTGACCAAAACATGTCCCCAGAGGAGGTGGGACTTGAGCTGGAAACTGAAGGGGAGGGTGGACTTACTTAGGTAAAGGGAGTATGAGAGTTCATTCTTCCCTTTACACTTGCAAAAGTGAACAGTATGGAATGTAATCGCTGAGTTCACGTAGGGAGGAAAAGAAAACAGAAAAGAATAGTATAATTTTGGTGAAGGGGATTGGGAAGAGAAAGTGAGCTATGAGGTTAAAAAAAAAAAGTAGATTAAAGGTCAACCCATGAAGGAAGGTCATTGAGTGAGCTTAGATGCTATTCTGAAGATAATGGCCATTTGTGGAAGACTCAGGGAAGAATATTTCAGGAAAGATCCAATGGGCCCTTGCTTTCTGCATTCTATATTCCTCCTAGAATCCAAGTTCTAACAACTGGAAATCTGCACACAGAGGGGGTTGCGATGGCTGTTGTATACCAAGAGAGCACAGAAAATCTGGGGTGGTTCTGCAATTCTTCAAAGGGGTGAAAGATCAGCTCTAACCCTGCCTTAGAAAAACAGCAATAACCATTGCTTAGAAAGAATAATTTGCATGTGAACACACTGCACTTGTGTTTTAATGCAATGCTTATGTGTTTGTGTGTGTCTTCAAAATCTTAGATTCAAAGATTAACCCTAAGAAAAACCAGGAAACATAAAAGAATTACTGTAGTTCAGAAGTATTATGAATCCCGTCCAGTCTATAGAACAGCAAAACACATCTGCTGTCTTCTACATCAATCAAAGTTCCAAGCTACTAGGTGTATCCACTTCACACAGCCTTGTTTCTTGTGTGTTTGCAAGGCACACCTCAGGAATGTTGGTGGGAAGCCCATAATATAACCATTCTGAAAAAGCAGCACCACTGTAATAATCTAGATCTTTGAAAAGACAACGGATAAGTATAAAAATGATGCATATACAATAATATTAATATCAAAAATAAATAATACTATTAGTGGTGATAAGTGCTATGGAAATAGAAAACAGTTTAAGAGGAAGAGAAATGAATGGATGTTTGCCTTTTAAAAGAGGGTGGATTTGTAAATGTTAGGAAATCCAGTTTCATTTAGGGATTATTCACCTGTCTCATCATCTTCTCAAGGTCTTTAAATAACAGGATCAACTTTAAGGAAAAACAAACAAACTCCTCAAGCCTTCACTAGCAGTCAGAAAAGCACGTGTATAGCCTGTACTGTACAATTCAGCCATTAATTCCATTTGCCTCACTTTATTCTATATCGTTTTACCCCTCCGCCTTGGGTGCTCAAAATAGATCTTAAGCTCCTTGAAGGCAAGAGTCTGGACTCCAACTGCGCCCAGCACACAGAATGCACGTACGAAGGAAAGGCAGATTTATGAAAAATAAAGCCAGGGTCTTCGATTTCAAATTGCAGCTCCGCCTTTGAGACTCTTTCCGCAGCCAAGCGCGGCCGCCCACCGGGGGCACTGTCTCGCCCCCCACCCCACCCCCGAGCAGCCCTCCCTCCTTGCTGTTCCCCGCAGCGGCCAGGAGGAGGCGCCACGGACTCGGGTTAAGCCTTTCCCCCTTTCCTTCCCCCTTCCTACCCCACTTCCCCCAGCACATGACGTGGGAAGCTGCCTCCGCCAGAGTCTTAGCAATAGGAGTGAGGGGGTGAAGGGGTTTGGGGGTGGGGTGGGGTGGGGGGTGTGGAGAAAGAGGACACGCGCGCGCACGCCCCTCCCGGGAGCAGAAACATCTCCCCCAGCTTCGTGGGTTTCTCCTCCCACCAGAGCCAGTGTGTGAGAGGTAGGTAGGTGTGTGTGGGGGGGCACGTTTTCGAGTGTGAGATCCAGATCCAGACCAGGCAACCTGTGCTCTCCCCGCCCTCCCCCCGTCCCCGGTGATTAATACCGTTTTTTACTCTCCCCCTCCTCCCCTCCTCCTCTTCCTCTCCCGCTGCCGCGCGGTTGACTTGCACAGCCGGCCCCCGCCCGCTTCCCTTCCTCCGGCTCTGAGCATCACCAACTGGAATCTGGGCTCCTGTCTCTCCACCCCCCAGCTTTTTTTTTTTTTTTTGAGAAAGGAAGGTCCCCCCACCCCCTTTCAAAAACCACTTCCTTCGGCTTCTTCACCTCTAGGAAATCTCGGGGCTTCGCTCTATCGAAAGTGCTCGTCAGGGTGATTCTTGATCACCACAACCCCGAAGTGCTGGCGTCCGAATGCATATCCTTTGGCTTTGCAAAGAAGAGTCGTGAACTTCCGAACCCCCGAGACGCATCATTCATCCTGCTTTGCAGGAAAGGAAACCCCTCAATCCCCCGCCACCGGCCACCCCTCTCCGGAGACTGCAATCGCGGAGGCGCTCAGAGCCGGTACGTGAATATTCGCTCTGGAGTCTCTCGTTTGGATTTTGGGGTTTGGGGGGATCAGGCAGATAAAGGGTCGAAGCAGCGAAACCGTTAACCAACCTGGTGTTAGGTAAAGCTCTTAAATCCAGTAGCACCCGGCACTTGCTAATTTGGACGTGGCTTTTTTTGGGGGGGGAGGGGTGGAGAATGAGGGGGTAGGGTTGTCTCTGGTCGTTTTTAGGGGGTTAATCCCCTCACCTAGCAGAGGCTGGGCAGCGGTGCCCCGGGCCGGAGCCACGCGCGCGACCATCCGTCCAATCGACACGTTGCAGGTGAAGCCCCGTGCGCTGCACATCGGCGCGGCGGCGGCGTGAGTGTGCGCGGGGGTGAGTGTGCGCGGGGGTGAGTGTGAGTGCGCGCGCGGGGCGCGTGCGCGTCGGGGGCGTGTGTGTGCGCGTGTCAGTGTGCCCCTTCCGAGAAATGCCCAGTGTGCACCCCGTGCACAATCAGAACCCATTCAGCACAAGCCCGGGGTGGGAGGAGGCGCTGCTGCCGGAGGCGATGGGGAGAGCGAGACAGACGTGTCAGCAGCAATGCAGATGGGGCTGGGGGCCGCACTTGCTGGCGAGTTAAGTGGGGATTGTGTTTCTGCTCGTGTGTGAGTGTGTGTTGCTCTATCGTGCCTCTTCTCCCTCCTTTCCTCCTTCCTTCCCACTTCCCTCCTTCGCTCCCTCCCTCCCTTTCCCCTCTTCCATTCAGGTTGGCTTTCCCACCTCTCATCCATGCCTGTCCCAGGAATGGTATAGCCAGACCTTTTCTGAATTATTTATAGACCGGTACCAGCTGTTTTCAATTCCTCTCGTGTGCACTCTGTGGGAAATGCGGGGTTTCCTCCCCCTTTTCCTTAAAACGAATTGATATCTTTTTCGGAATGCATTTTTCTCACCCTCCGGGGGACACTCGAATCAAACCCTGACCGCCTCTTTTTCCCCCTCAGGAAGGGGACGCTTTGGGAATGACCATGCTCCACGGAGGGACGGAGCCGGCCCCCAGCTTCTCTACACAGAGCCTCCTCCACTAAAGCTCCAAAAATCAAAAACCATAATTGCCAGAAGAATCATTCAAAATATATTCCAGCCACTAACCTCACATGCACACGGAATAATTACTCTGGATTCTGCATTGTGAGCTGCTCTCCACACCCTGAATTACCTTTGAATTAAATCTTTTTTTCTTTGAATCTGCATCTCTTCGAGACACAAGATTAAAACAAAATTTACGCTAAATTGGATTTTAAATTATCTTCCGTTCATTTATCCTTCGTCTTTCTTATGTGGATATGCAAGCGAGAAGAGACTGGACATTCCCAACATGCTCACTCCCTTAATCTGTCGGTCTAGAGGTTTGGCTTCTGCAAACCAAGGTAGGGCAAATTCTATTTTATTTTTTCCTCACCTGGGGTAGGGATTCCTTGTTTTATCATTTTCTTGGAGTCCCTCAAGTGGATCTTTTGGGAAGAAAAGGTCACAAGATATTAAAATAATGCTGTTTTGGGGAAAAGGCTTATTGCAAAGAGGGAAATCTCCCATGTTATTTCTTTTCCTTCTCTCATCTAACAGGTTTTGGGTTTTGGGGGGGCAGTGGGGGTGGGGGTATGTAGGCACGAAAGATGCTGGATGGCATAAGGGATATATATATATATCTATATATGTATGTATGTATATATATGCATGCAGACACAGCCAGCCAGGAGACCTGTGTGATTTTCGATTTAAATAGCATTTTATTCACCCAGAGACAAGGCTCTGATTTTTATGGGAATCTAGAAATCTTTTTTCCCCCCCCCAGGCTGGCTTTTTCCCCTTGTCACCTTGGTGCCTCTCCCTATCTCCTATCTTTACCTTCCTAGGCATCCTTTCTATGCCCTTTAAAAATAAAAATAATGATTGAGATCATTGTGGTTGTTGTCCTGAAATCCACTTGCTGTATAAAGGGTTTACACTGGCCCCAGTGATCCCGGGAGGCCTATTGCAGAGGGACAGGTCTAGGTGGGGGATAGAGCTGCTCTAAGAACACCTGGAATTGAAGGATGCTGCAGGTTAAGAGGACTTAAATCTTAAGCTCAGAAAGAAGGAATTCTGTCAATATTCTGCTTTTAATTTGTATTTTTTGAGTGCTATTATTTTTGAGCTGTAAATTTCTCCTTCTGTCTACACATCTATTTATACCCACACATCCTCCAAGCAAACTGTTACTTCCACACTCTTGCAAAATGGCTATCTTGCAGAGTTCTAAAATGCTATGCATGTGGAAGGGGTGCAGAATTCGACACGTGAGTCTTTGTGTTAAACAAAGAGATGTGCTGTTTGCATGTGTTAGTCTTGTATCCTCAAAAATAGAATTAATACTTTAATTTTTTCCCTTTGATCAATTTTTACAATATGTGAAATGTGGTTAGGCAATATTTTAATGCGCTTGGAAAGAGAAATAGCAGGAGAAATGGAAAAGACTTAGCTAATGACTCTTCAGCTAGTCACTCATGCAATCCAAGACAACTCCTGAGAAAATCAGATCATCCATGTGTTGGAGGGCCATGATGGTGAGTGCAGGGCTCTTCTCTTTGCCCCACTGACCATGCAACCCCAAACTCCGAAGGCGTCCAAATGCAGCAATCAGGTTGGGATGAAGATGTTCAAAAATGTGTAGCAGAATCATTAGCATCAATAGTCTTTCTAAAAGTACCCCCCCCACCAATCTTTTTTCTGGCATTTTTTTATAACAATCCAAAATACTAAAGGGACGTGGGGGAAGTGGTGCATGGTCCTTGTCACTCAGCATGACAGTAGATGATAGTTCTTTATTGTACAGAAAGGATGGATGTAATCTAAACTCACTATCGTCCTCTCCTAGGTTCCATTCTTTTGAGCTTTTATTGCTGAAATGCTAATCTGTAACCATGGTGTAATCAGAGTGAGCGGGTGGGACCCCTCTTTGAACCATGTTTTCACCGTGTCTACAAATAGCTGAGGTTATCTGGTGTGTGCTCACCTTAGAGACACCTGAGCTGGTTCTCCATCTGCTTCTGCTCCTTCAAGTAGGAGGATGAACTCTTAATTTTACTTCAAAATAGAACAGAGGTATGGGTGAGAAAGGCAGCTCCATGTGCAATGATTTCATACATACAGGTAGACAAGGAGAGGAGGGTATCTGCAGGGCACATGGCTCCTTTTGCATCCCTGGTGCCTATGACACTGGAACTCTACACCCAATAGGTCCTTCGGAATGTTTGTTGGTGATGAGGTTGACAAGGAGGCCTTTTGACAGGGTCTCAGCCACCTCATTTGTCTGGAATACCAATGGATGAAGCTGGGTTCCAGGCTGTCGTTAGTTGGCCCTAAGACTAGACAAAGGAGAATAGGTTAAAGAGGGAGGGTGTTAAGGAAGAGAAGAAAAAGTGGGTGGGAAAGCTATAAAGAGAAAGGAAAGGTAGTCCAACTGGAATGGGCTTGTTAGGACCCAAGGAGGAATCGCCACAGGTGGTCTCTACCTTTTTGGCATCCAGAGCCATTTTGGAGACCCTGGTAGGAGGCAGGTGTTGCCCATTCTCGTGGACATTCTCCATAAGGCCATGACTCAGTGGCGTTCTGGGCTGTCTCGGGGTCATTGTTCTCTCCCCGTTTTTCCCTCACAGCACAAAGACCTGACGGGGTTCTATTTTGTCTTCTCTGCTTTTGCCACCCACCCTCCAGCCCCCCACACAGTGTGGGTTACATGGGAAAGAAATGTAGCCGCTGGTGGGAGGCAGAGCAAATTTAATTTCAATTGAGGAGCCTCCATGATGTGCAATTAAGAAAAAAAAAAGGAAATAAAGACTTCCCAGGAAAACACAGCTAAGGATGTTAGATTGATGATTTCAAGGGAAATCATTGATGTTTCAGAACATCATGGCTATCTTCTGTATATGTGTCTCAGGTGTGGAAAAGCATGATGGATCTGTGAACACAGAACGATATGGCAGTTTAGGTACAGATGTTAACATGCAAAGAGAGGAGCAGGGTGTGCTATTGGATTATCTAATTTTTTCTCTCCCATTGGTCCTAGCCTTAGCAAGCCTGTCTGTCTGAAGAACCTTGCTTTGCTACTGTATGTATGTAATTTTTGTCAGGATGAATGCAGGCAGAGAGAATAAGTAAGGAGGCAAAATTACAGGAAAGGAGGGGAGAGAGAAAAATCCCTCTGTTCACTACTTTGCACACCAAATGCCTTTCCTTTAGGCTGATTGAGAAGAGCGACTTCCTCTGGAGAAGGGATGAACAGCAGGAACCTCAATTTTGTGTTCCTGCTTTACCTCCAGAAAGATGGCTTCAGAACCTTGACCGTCTTCCTTGACCTTTATGTACAAGCACCCAGCCTTGTGTGGGGAGGGGCAGTGGGCGCCTGGGAGTTGGACACGTGGACTGAAATTGGTTGGTGGAATGAGTGGGGTTTGACAGGGAGAAGCAGAACTGAGCCGATCCGGCCTTTGGCTTTGGATGTTACCTTGTAAAACATTCTTCCAGTTCCTCCAGGAATATAACAAACCCAGGGGCAGGATTTTTTTTTTTTTTCTATTTTCTTGTTTGAGAATCTGAAAATGAAGGTGACATCTCCACTACTATTAACAGGTCAAAGCAAAAATGTTGTTAATATTTATGGACTATGAAATGCAAAAGGAGGCAGGAGAACGGACAAGTGGTATGTGAAAAAATCATAGCCATAAATAAGCATCTAGAAGCCAGGGAAGAGAAAGAAGCTAGGGTTGAACTCACCATTCTAAAGGTTTGGAAAAGTATCGTTCTGAGTGAAAGCCTTCTCTCCTTAATAACGAAGACCGGGGCCGACAAAACCACTCATCTTGTGTATCTTGTCGGGGTCAGGAGTGGATGAGCTGGAAAAATTAAGCTCCTCCTTTTCCTCAGTGCCATTCTACACCATCCTTAAGAATTCTAGAAATTTCTTCCTTTCAGTAAACTATACTTTCGGTCTCTGCTGCTGTGCATACGATGGCTACTGGTATTGTTTCTCTCTGTAAATAAATATAGATCAAAAGAGTTACTGGTCTAATGAATTGTTCACATTTATTAAAGTGCATCTCCTCTTTGCAACCACAAGAAGAAGTCTCCAGGGAGAGTAGATTAGCGGTTGAATTGATATTATCTTCCAGAAGGAGGCTGAAGATAGAAGAGCAGAATGTAGGCAGGATGAGGGGGCAGGCTTACTTAGCAGGGGTGGGTGACTGAGGCTCACCTGTGGCTGCTAATGGTATATCTGTGGCCATTACACAAAATCCATTGTGTGGTGAACTTTTGGGGGATGTGAACCCAGAGAAGTGTGTTCAGGAACCTTTGGATGTGTCCTGGATGCTCTCCAACCACCTTATTTTTTCTTTTTACTTCCTAGCACTTTTGGCTTAGGTTGGCAGAAAAAGGGACCGAGTGCATGTATTGTCCCCTTGTTGAAACTCTCCACCACTGCCCCAGGCCATGTGATGGCTTTGCTTTCTGTGCTCACCAGCACTTGTTCATGCTTCTTAGTACCCTTTATCCGAATTTTGTTTATAGGCTCTGTTTCCCTAAGAAGTCCGTGAACGCCTCAAGGGAGGGAGAGATGTTTTATTCATCTTGGAATCATTTATACCTAGCATAGTGACTGGCACATAATAGATACTCAGAAAATATTAAATGAATGAAGGGAGAGAAGAAGTGAAATATTAATTGGTCAACGATGCTATTGTTTGTCCTGGTGGGTATGGAAAGTGTTGAAGTTATGCTGTTAGATGAGATCAAGAATGTCAGAGCTCTGTGACACTTTAGAAAGCATGTGCTCCGACCTCATTTAATAAAGATGAAGAAACTGAGATCCAGGGACATTAAGTGATTTGCTTGAGGTTGTGTAGCCCCTTAGTGCCAATGCCTTGTACACCACACCATTGATGAGAGAAATGTGGAGGTTATCTGTGGGTCTCAAATGTCTACATTAGTGCTTCTCAAACTTTATTGTATATCGGAATCATCTGGGGATCTTGTTAAAATGCACATTCTGATTTGGTAGATCTGAGGTGGAGCACAGCACTCTGTATGCCTAACAAGCTCCGAGGTGGTGCCAAAGTTGCTGGACATGATGGGTCTACACCCTCCCTGCACGCAATTATAGGCCAGAGCTAACATTGGTAGTTCTGCATGTGTTCTGCTTTTGGGACTCCCAGCAGTTCTGCTTTGTCTTAAAAAAAAAATCAGAACGTTCACCCTTTTCCTCTCTTATTTCACTCTTCCACCCATGTACATCTTTTGCCTCTTCCCTTTTCATCCTCTGTGCTTTTTTATTCTGATCCTTCTTAAAACTGATCTTCTCTGTCTTATGTTTTATGTCCTCTTGCTTTGTTTT